CTTTCCAATCTGATGGTACTTGTTCCTCATCCCAAATCTTCTTGAAGAGGATGTGAAATATTTTCGCAGTTGCTTCTACATCTGCTTTCATTGCCTCTGCTGGAATGTTGTCTGGTCCTGCTGCTTTGCCGCTCTTGATTTGTCTGATGGCCATACTGATCTCCTCAATCGTAGGTGCGCCAATATTAATTGGGGGGAGCAAAACAATTATATTGACTACTGAAATAATTAGTCATAGTGAGATAAGAGACCTTTGTGATTTTATATACTTTTTTTAGTGACATAATACAATTTATTTGTTGAAATTATTAACAAATAAACAATGTGATTAATATCAAAAAGGTGATAGGTGGAGTTTGAGTTTTCCAACCCCTTTAATCATTCTATAAACAATCTTTTAAATTTCTAAATTGATCCAGAAGGTTTCTAGCCCATGGATAGATGAGCGATATGGGTCGGATGCAGATGTGAAGGCACATATCAGCAAAGTAAGGACATTTCGAACAATCTGGTCACACACATATTTACCTGTCAAGGCATTTTATATGAAGATGAATAAAAGGTCAATTAAATAAAAGTTCAAATAGACATAAGGTGATAATAAATTAACGTGATATGAAAAGAATAAGAAGGGGTAGGAAAATTGTCACATTACCCTAGGCTTAAAGATTACCGAGGTAAATTCAAGGTTATGACTAATTGTTTCTGCACACATAAGGGGAGTTTTAATTTTCTAATAGCCAAGGCCTCCATAAACCTCAAAATTCGTCCTTCAACATTTCTATACAGTGTTTTGAAGGCTGTCTTGATGTCAATGTTGTGCCCTGTCTCAATTTTCGCCACGGATACACTTGACGACGATGCAAAATTCTTAACTGAAGCATTGATTTCAAACGGCTATCCGCTAAAGTTAATCAACAGATGTAGAAATCAGTTAAGACAAAAGCAAGTTTTTCATTCTGCTGAGAAGAAAAAGGTTTATATCACTTTACCATTTAGAGGTGAAGCAAATGGTCTAATCTTAAGACAGAGACTAAATAAAAGCAGCCATGGAGAAAACATACAACACTGCTAAACTGATTATCATTGAAAAGAACAAGCCCATGATTTCACATATACCTAAACGTTGCTCGAATGATTACATCACATCCCATTGCATTTATCAATTTGCATGTTTGTGTGGACACACATACAGGGAGGAGTAATCGGATTTTACATTGAAAGGTTATGGAACATGTACCTAAGTGGCTTCAAAATCAGTTAACGTCAGATGAGCCGATTAGCGTTGGATATAGAGAACCATGTTCATCGATCGCAAAACACATAATTGAGACAGGGCATAAGATTACATCAAGACAGCCTTCAAAACATTGTATGGAAATGTTGAAGGACGAATTTTGAGGTTTATGGAGGCCTTGGCTATTAGAAAATTAAAACTCCCCTTATGTGTGCAGAAACAATTAGTCATAACCTTGAATTTACCTCGGTAATCTTTAAGCCTAGGGTAATGTGACAATTTTCCTATCCTTTCTTATCCTTATCATATTACGTTAATTTTTTATGAAGATGAATAAAAGGTCAATTAAATAAAAGTTCAAATAGACATAAAGTGATAATTGTAAATAAAGGAGATAGAAAATTAACGTAATATGAACAGAATAAGAAGGGGTAAGAAAATTGTCACATTATCCCTTTTTGTTCTTTTCATATTACGTTAATTTTCTATCTCCTTTATTTACAATTATCACTTTATGTCTATTTGAACTTTTATTTAATCGGCCTTTTATTCATCTTCATATAAAATGCCTTGACAGGTAAATATGTGTGTGACCAGATTGTTCGAAATGTTTGAGGCACAAATACATCACAACATTTTTCAGATCAATTACGTCTTCTGATTGTTCTATCAAAATTTATAATAGGGACTAATTGTTTTAAAGTAAGGATAGAATAATTGAAAAATATGCACAACTCGAAACAACTATCAACCAACAACAAAGTCACAAGTTTCAATACAAATGTCAAAACTATTCTACTTCATAGAGGAGAAACTTGGAGAACTACGAAAGCCATCATCCAGAAGACACAAGTGTTCGTTAACAGTTGTCTACAAAAAATACTTCAGATTTGTTGACTAGACACTATCAGTAACAACCTACAGAGGGAGAGAAGAAACCAGATTCCAGCGGATCAGAAGGAAGAGCTGGAAGTGGATAGAATACACATTGAGGAAGGCATCCAATTTCATCCCAAGACAAGCCGTCACTTGGAATCCTCAAGGCTAAAGGAAAAGATGAAGACCAAAAAATACATCATGTCGAGTTTTAATGACAGACACGAGAAGAATGAACACCAATTGGATACAACTGAATAAGCATGGCCAGGACAGAGTAGCATGGACAATGCTGGTCAGTGGCCCATACTCCGCTGCGGGCAACAAGCGTAAATAAGAATAGTAGCATTTGGTTGTGTTTTGTTCACAGAACTACTCTGAATGGTTGCAATAGGAAACTTTATTGTTATTTTAGACAACATCATCAGTCAGTCAGTTACAACCTAGAACTTCGTACATGAGTACATAAGTTCAGGTTGCTACATCCCATCAGCACATAGACGCAACTGTCAGTTCAAATCCCATAGTGGTAGCGACAGTAGAAGCATTAACAGTAATAGAGAAGATTAGGGTTCGAAGATATTATTCAAGAAGTATAATTCAGTGAGATAAAGTTAGAAAGAGAAAGGTAGAGATGATGAGGAATTCTGAAGGTTAGAAGTTCAGAGAACACAAAGAATGGATGCAGCTACGCGATTGCAAACAGTTATGAGACACGTCGTTCAAGGTATCTAACCATCGGTTACTTTCGCCCCGCGGACCCCAACCAAGTAGCCTATATCTACCAGCATGACTTAGTCCAGTTGTCAGTGATTTCATCGATTTGTGCCATGTTTTTGGTTTGGCCGCCCCGTAGCGCGAATATCATCAGTCCTTATGATAAACAAATAACCATCGATTGAAATTTTTTTGGAGAAAATGTCTGTTGGGGATGTTACATCCCCGAAATTCGCTTGATAATGCCGTATTTTGGTTTTCACGTTTCGCCAGCATGGGCTGATCAGATGACCTTGAGATTTCAATTCCCACCAGCAAAATCCATGGCTGTGATTGGCTGCAGTGTATTTTAGTATGCTATTTTCTTAACTGTCTCAAGGACGTTCCTATGTTGTATAAATAAACGAGAGTTGTATGCTTGATTGTACTGTGATTGCTGGGTGTTTGTAGAATATACTTTCTACGCTTACAAAGCCTTCTATTTCGATTTTGGGTATTCAAGGTAGCCTCCCTGGAAGCTGGTAAAAGTCTCGTTCGCGTTTATCGACTAAGGTAAACTCGTAATAGCCTCAAGCATACTAAGTGACGAACTTATCAATGTCGAAACATTGGATTTAACGTATTCTAAGAATAAATGTTATAGAACGTTAAACATTAATTCATAGTAACTCAAGTCAAGCCAAGTCATCAACAACATACAACTTCAAACGTACAAACATCAGTTAAAGTTGCCATACCACATTAGTGCACAGAGATGCAATTGTCAATTCAAATCCTATAGTAGTAGAAGTAGTAAAAGTATTAGTGGTAATCGGAGAGATTAGGGTTCGAAGATATTATTCAAGAAGTATAATTCATTGAGTTAACCTTAGAAAAAGGGAGACAGAAATGATGAGGAATTCGGAGAACACTAAAAGTGGATGCACCTGCTCCATTCCAAACGGTTTTGAGCCATGTCATTCAGGGTCTTTAACCATCGATTATTATCATCTCGCGGACCCCAACCAGGTATTGGACACCTACCGACATGACTCAATCCACTTGCTAGTGACTTCATGGATTGGTGACATGTTTTGTTCTGGTCGCCCCTAACTTTCTTCCAACCTATTCCTACATCACAAAGCATAGCTAGACGAGATAGTTAACATAATTCATGTTAACTATCTTTAAACAATAAGGATTATAAAAGTTCCAAAAAAAACTGATAGACTAAACTAGTCTACATATATCATACACGCAATGGTTTACATTTCATCACAAGATCAAACAGTAGATAAGAAATTATAAACAACGTGTACACTATTTATTATTAAAGCAAACCGATTTCAAACTATCTTAATCTTCTTGTCATGGATTAAAAGGATAAAATATATATAAACCAATACTGTTTTGCCCAATTAAAGTATTCTAGTCAATTTTTCCCCTTTTTATCAATAGTTTATCGGAGAGTGTAATTAAGGAAACATGTGTGTGTATGTGTGTAAGTTGAAATTAAAAAAAACACTATGAAATGTAATCATAACCTATATCTACCAGTATGGGATTTGGACCGACAGTTGCGTCTCTGTGCAGACAGACAGATACAACGCAGAACTTCGTACATAAGTACATCAGTTCAGGTTGCCATGCCCTATCAGCACACAGACGCAACTGTCAGTTCAAATCCAAGAATGATAGCGATATTAAAAGTATTAGCAGTAATGGAGAAGATTAGGGAGCGAAGATATGATTCGAGGAGTATAATTCAGTAAGATAAATTTATAAGGAGAAAGGTAGAGATTATGAGGAATGCAGAAGTTTAGAATTTGAGAGAACACAATGAATGGATGCACCTGCGCCATTGCAAACAATTCTGAGCCATGTTATTCAAGGTCTCTAACCATCGGTGATTATGGTCTCACGGACCCTAACCAGGTAGCCTACATCTACCAATATGACTCAGTCCACTTGTCAGTGACTTCATGGATTTATGCCATGTTTTGGTCTAGCCGCCCCTAACTTTCTTCCAATCTACTCCTACACTACAAAACATAGCTCCGCCTCTGTGCTCATATACGGTACGACAACCTGAACATATGTACTCATGTACAAAGTTCTACATTGTAACTGACTAACTGACTGTAATAAAATAATCAACTCAGAATTAAATAATACGAATTGCAATACTTACATCTTTTTGATCTTCAATAGATCGATTCAATGCTTCTTCTTCATCTTGTATTTCTTGTAAACTTAAATTCTCTTCAGTAGTTCGATAATAATCTAATCCAATTGGATTACTGTTATTATTATTATTATTTCTATTATTCATCGGTAGAACAGTTGCATTGATCGATTGTTGATTTACAATTAACGATGTGTTAGTATAATATTGATTAGACAATGAATTTGTGGTGTTTGTCAATAGAGCTATTGTTGTAGTACATTTTGTTAAGGATTCATTATTATTATTATTATTATTATTATTATTAGTATTAGTATTAGTAGTAGTAGTAGTAGTACTAGTTGATTTGTAATAAGTTAAAAGATAAACTTCTGTTCGAGCCTCGTCAAATCTAAAATGGTAAAAAAAGGAAAAAAATCTGTAGAATACTATTTGACTGATTGTTTGTGTGTTTGTTTATGCTGGAAAAAAATTACAGTTTTAAATGAATGATAACGCATTTGGAGATAAATGTCTTTAAGCTTTAATTATGTACTATACCATCTCACCACATATTTAACGATTCAAATGTTGGTATCACTTTGGACAAGTTGTTAGACCTTTATTAAAGGCCTGGAAGTATTGGGTGGCTGTTTCGACCCGGTATAGGACTCATCAGAATTGTGCATCCACGACTCCTGGAGGGCGAACGCCTAACCTCAGATAATGTCTATACCATCTCACCATATATTTAATGAATCAAACATCCTTATCACTTTGAACAAGATGTTGTTCAACTAAGACATTTTCATTATACAGTTATAGAGATCAGTGTTTTGACATATTGAAATCATGATTCAATCATTGTTAGACCTTCATTAAAAACCTATAAGCATTGGATGGCTGTTTCGTTCATAACTCTATCATGAAAAATCGTACAATGTGCCTCCTCACTAGTGACTAGCTTCGTCAGGAAATTCTCAAAGTTCTAGTAAGAAGACATGATCGATGTAGTTCAACCCTATCGGGTGTAGACAGTAACTACCGAAGACAAATGGGTGAGGTTTCATAAAATCCTTAGATGCCAGCCCAGAGGTCCAGAATTCGGGTATTCATGCTCAAGACCGAAAGTCGTGGGTTCGAATCGTGGGTGGGCACAGCTGATGAGTCCCATGCCAGGACGGAACAGCCGTCTAGTACTTCTAAGTTTGTTTCGTTGGTTGGTTTTGCTAGAAAAAAAATACATTTTGAGTGAATTATAACAACTTTAAGCCAATAATGTTCTATACCACCTCACTATATATTTAACGAATCAAACGTTCTTACTACTTTGGACAAGATAGTGTTAAATTAAGACATTTTAATTACAGAGTTATGGAGATCATTGTTTATTATTGAAATCATAAATCAACCATTGTTAGACCTTCATTAAAAACCTGGAAGTATTGGACGACTGTTTCGTCCTGGTGTGGGACTCATCAACAGTGTGCACCCACGACTCCTGCTAACCGCAGGATTCGAACCTAGGACCTTCGGTCTTAGAGGCCAACGCCTAACATCAGACAATGTCCATACCATCTCACCATATATTTAACGATTCAGATGTTCTTATCACTCTGGAAAAGATAGTGTTAAATTAAGATTGTTCATGATAGAGTTATGGAGATCATTGTTATGACACATTGAAATCATGAATCAATCACTGTTAGACCATCATTGGAAATCTGGAAGTACTGGATGGCTGTTTCGTCCTGGTATGAGACTCATCAGCAGTGCGCATCCACGACTCCTGCTTCTCACAGGAATCGAACCCAGGACTTTCGATCTTGCGCGCGAACACCAAACCTCTGATGAATCTGTTAGGATATTCATCTAATATCCTAAGAGGATTATTTGTAAGTCTAGTTCTAGTGGTTAATTCCTATTGGTCGTCCTAACTATCAATGTCACATACTTCAATGTTGTTTCCTATTCGACCTAACTGTATAAATATGCATTATCTGTAACGTTTTATGGCCCGGATCCTTAATCCGGGATACTTCTTCATATCAAGTCTTCTTCTTTCACTCAATGGGGGGGGGGGTTTGCAACACTCAGATTACAGTAGCTTGTCGTGTCACCGGATCCTCGATCCTCGCGCTCTCGTTTTCCGACTAAGGTAAACTCGTAATGGTTCAAGCATATCAAATGACGTGTTGACGTGCATTCATAACAGAATCTCATACCAGGACGAAACAGCCGTCCAGTAATTCTAGGTTGTTAATGTTATTCAGATGATCAGTTAAATAGTCAACCATATAAAACCATATATAATATAAGATAGTTTACATAAATAAACGACCATCAAGGTTATACAAAATAGGACTAAGCTCAAAACAAACAACTAGGTGGTAACTGAAACTAGACAGAGTATTTATAGATAATTATGTAACAATTATTGTATGAATTCCATTTCCATTATCTAAAGAATTAATCAGAAACAGGGTGCGTCTTTTTTTTATTGATATTAACTAATCTAGTCAGGATCTTTTCAATGACAGACAGACAGACAGACTGGTTATAATGATAAGCACAATTTTCTTAAATATTTCTTTCTATTAAATAACGCAAAATACCTCGGATTCGTTGGCCAGACACTATCAGCAACAACGTACTGTGGAAGAAAACAAACCAGATTCCAGTGGAGGAGGAAATCAGGAAGAAGCAGTGGAAGTGGATAGGACACACACTACGCAAAGCACCTAACTGCGTCACAAGACAAGCCCTCAAATGGAACCCTCAAGGCAAAAGGAAAAGAGGAAGGCCAAAGAACACACTACGCCGAGAAATAGAGAAAGATATGAGAGGAAGGAACAAAAATTGGACAGAACTGGAGAAGGAAGCCCAGGACAGAGTTGGCTGAAGAAAACTGATGGGCGGCCTATGCTCCGTTGGGGGTAACAGGCGTAAGTAAGTAAGTAAGTATTAAATAACTAAGTTGTTACATAGAATAGAGAGAATAGCATGAAACTCTAGTTGTTGCTTAGGCTTCCTAATAAAATCACTTAAATAGTATTGATAATTAACTTCCAACATGTATAGAAATGAAAAATTTCCCATTACATGTTGTCGAGTATTGTATAGTCTAATGCTCCTCCTATAAGAACAACATGAATTTAGATAGTCGCTAGATCAGATGAAAGATGAGATGTTAATAGAAATCTTTTAACTGAAGTTAGCAAACGAATGTGTGACTAATAGGCGAGATTGGACCGATAACACAGAAGCACATTACAATGAGTCTCACAGTACTAGTTTATTAATTATGGTCTCACAGAGGCTAGATTAAAACTCCACCTGAAGCCCTTCTAGGATTACTGTTGGTCCCAAGCATAGATAAAGGTGAAGGGTTGGGTATGAGGTTGGCGACCTCATCGCGTTGAAAACCAAATCGCTAAAAAAACGCTAACCAGGATAAATAATCCAAACCATTTAAACTCTGTCTTCTTTCAGAAGATTTGTGACGTCTCATGATGAAAGCTCGGATCATTCGGAAGTTACGAGGTCGATGTCCCTTCTAACAACTAGAACAGCCTTTATTTTATGTACATGGGATGTTCGTACATTGTAAGAAACCGGGAGAGTCATCCAAGTTGCTGTAGAAATGAAAAGATACAACCTAGAAGTACTTGGAATCAGTGAAACAGATTGGACAACTGAGACTAGCTTCAGTTGAGCTGCTGTTATACTCCGGGAAGAAGAAAACGCCTCACACACACAAGAAGTCGCACTGATACTGTCAAAACAAGCGCAAAAAGCACTGATAGAATGGGAATCTCATGAACCCAGAATCATCAAAGCCTCCTTTAAAACAAAGTAAGAGGGGATTGTGATGAATACCACTCAGTGTTATGAGCCCATCAACTATAACAATCAACAAGATAAATATCAATTACATGAGAGGCTGCAGTCAATTGTCATGAGATATTTATCAAAGGATTCGATCATTCTGATGGAGGACCTAAATACCAAGATTGGAATCGATAACATTAGATATGAAGAAATCATGTGATGACATGGACTGGGAGAAAGGAACAAACTTGGTGGAAGATTCGCAAACCTATTTGTCGTCAACAAAATAATTATAGGTGAAACCATATTCCCAAACAAAACCCATACAAAAAGCGACTTGGATTTTACAGGATCACACTACATAGAACCAAATCGACCATATCTGTATCAATAAAAAGTTCAGAAGGATGATGGAGGACGTAAGAGCTATGAGAGCAGCCGACATAGCTTCATATAACCACTTGGTATCAGCCAAAATGAAGTTGAAACTAAAGAAGCACTGGAAAACGAAGCGATAAACATCACAAACTTTTAATACAGTCATTCTTCAGGATACTGAAAAATTCAACGAATTCATGAGAGTCCTCAGCAATAGGTTCCAGGCCCTTCACGATCTATTCAATCGAGACAAAACTACCATGGAAAACAACTGGGAAGCGATCAAGGAAGCAGTAACTTCAAAATGTCATGAGGTTCTGGGTCAAAAGAAGCACCATCATAAAGAATGGATCATTGTTGATAATTTTGATAAGATTCAAGAAAGGAGGAAGTGGGAGGAGGCAATCAATATCAGCCGAACAAGAGCATAGAAAGTCAAGACACAAGCTGAATATACAGAAGCATCAGAGCTGGTAAACGCAAATACGTAGAAGACCTAGTACTGAAAGCCGAAAAGGCTATAGGAGAGGTGAACATGAAATAACTATATGTCTTGAATTCCAAATACTACTAGCTACAATGCATCTTAATTCATCTTTTTATCATAATCCAAATCTTAGTTTTATTTGTAACCATGAATCAATCAATGTTAGACCATCATTAGAAACCTGGAAGCACTGGACGGCCGCAATGCAATTACATGTGTCCACTAGTGACTAGCTTGGTGAGGAATCTTCTCCGAGTTCTAGTGGAAAGACGTGACCAGTGAAGTTCAAACCTGTTCGGATGTATACAGGGTATGGGGTTGAGCAACTCCGTGAATTTGATCAAGTTAGACATTAACACCGTTAGAAACCGGCTCAGTGGTCTAACGGTTGGGGCGTTCGCGCACAATGTCGAAGGCCCTGGGTTCGAATCCTGCGGGGTGCAGGAGTCGTGGATGCGCACTGCTGATGAGTCCCATACCAGGACGAATCGGCCTTCCAGTGCTTCCAGGTTTCTAATGGTGGTCTAACATTGATCGACTCATGGTTACAGATAAAACTTAACAATCTTCACAACAACCCCGCAATCCAAATCTTAGTCATAAAAGAATAAATCAATCAAAATGGTTTATATGAAATCATGAGATTACTTGAATTGAAAGTAATTTCAATTAACAAATAATTTGGTAAAAGAATAACTTACTCGCATCGTACAAATGCTTCTTCAATGACACCTTTTTGTGTTCCAGGAAATTTAGACATTAATCGATTTAATATCAAACGTACAACTGGAGTGTTTAAAGACTGAAAAAGAGAAAAATATCAATGGCACACAACATAAATAAGTGAGAAGAAATATGACACAGAATAGATTTTAACCATTAAAATGAAAAAAGACAGTTTCAATTCTTTTTAAAATACTATTATATTACAAACAAGGATAAAGAGACTCATTTTATTTTCAATGAAACAAAAGTAGTCAGGTATATATGAAGAGATCATTTGTCAGTCAGTCAGTCAGTTACAACGTAGAAGTCGGTACGTAAGAAACCTTATGGCTGTGAAACATGGCCAGTGAGAGTAGAAGATATTCGTAGGTTACTGGTTTTCAATCATAGGTGTCTTCGAAACATTGCTCGTATATCCTGAGACACCCGAGTGAGCAACGCTGTTATTAGGAAACGGGTGCTACGTAAGAATGGCAGATCAATAGATGAAGTAATGAAACTTCATCAGTTGACGTGGTTGGGACATGTGTTGCGTATGCCTAACCACCGACTGACTCGACGAACTTTGTTTTGTAGAGTAGGAATAGGTTGGAAGAAAGCTAAGGGGCGGCCAAACCAAAACATGGCACAAATCTATGAGGTCATTGACTAGTGGACTGAGCCATGTCGGTAATTGTCGACTACCTGGTTGGGGTCCGCGAGATGATAATAATCGATGGTTAGAGACCTTGAATGACATGGCTCAAAATCGTTCGCAATGGCGCCGGTGCATTTATTCTTTGAGTTCTCTCAAATCCTAATCTTCTGGGTTCTTCAACTCCTCTAGTTTTGTCTTTCTAAACTTTTCTCATTAAATCATACTTCTTGAATAATATCTTCTAATCCTAAACTCTCCGATTACTTCTCATACCTTTACTACCTCTTCTACTATTGGATTTGAATTGACAATTACATCTCTGTGCTGATGTGATATGGCAACATGAACTGATGTACTTTCGTACGAAGTTCTACGTTGCATCTGACTCTGACTCTGACGTACGAAACATCACTTCTATTTTCCATACCGCATTAGCGCACAGAGAGATTAAACTTACATTTCAAATCCCATAGTAGTAGAGAAAGTAGAAGTATTAACAGTGATCAAAAGGATTATGGATCAGAGATATGGTTCGAGAAGTAGATCTCAGTCAGATTAACTTAAAAAGATAAAAAGGCTATGAGGAATTCAGAAGAAGAGTGGACGCACCTGCTCCATTGTAAACGATCTTCAGCCACGTCGTTCAAGGTCTCAAACTATCGGTTACTATCGTCTCGCGGACCTCATCCACGTAGTCTACATCTACTAACATAGGTCAGTTTAGTTGTCAATGACTTGATGGATTTGTTTCATGTTTTGGTTTGACCACTCCTAGCTTTCTTCCAGTCTACTCATACAATAGACAACATCGTTCGTTGAGGCGATCGGTGGTTGGGCATACATAACATTTAACGACATGAAGAGCTCATAAATGATGATAAAACTTTATAACAACAGTCAATTCAATCAATAACTAATTACAAGCCTCATTTAAGTAGTCTATAGTTCAGTTCCAATCCCTAATCAGAAAATTTCAATAGATAACTTACAAACTGTTTTGGTTAGTTCAAATAAATACAACTTCTGTGTAGTAAAGAAAAGTCTGATGAATATCTAATCAAAAACAATATTATTCACGCATATGGTGCTTGTTCTAACTGCTTACGTTATTTACAAAAAATACAGTTAGATTGATTTTCATCTAGTCAGTTGGTTAGAGTCACACGAGATTTTATCCATTTCTCCATCAGTAGAAATTCTATTGAATGATATATACTTTGATCAATGTTGTGGAATTTTAGCACCAGTCAATATCACAATCACGACAAACACTCCCAAGTTTTGTGATGGAGTTTCGTTCTCTGAGTTGGATGTTTCGGTTGTGGAGTATGTGCTGATGATCTTGTTCAGCAGAAGAACAATGAAGAATTTCATTAACGTTTCAGCGAATCAGTACGCTAATATTTTAAAAAGTGTTTGAGATATATAATGCCATACAAGCATAAAGAGAAGGGAGTAGATATTTTGAAGAAACTGATAAATCAAGTACAACCACTACGAATTTTAGTTGTATCACTCTTTTAATGACAGCATCATAGGAATTTCAAGGCCAGTAACGGTATTATTAAGGGTCACTTGTTTTGGTGTATAATTTTTGCCGTTTGTCGAAATACTTTTGAACAATCCAAGAAGTTTATAACACCATTTTAAAATCCACAAATGAAATTTATTTCAGTATTTCTTACTATATATATATATAATTTAAATAAACATTACAATGAGTGGCTTTATTTCATTATATGTCATACTGACAGAATGTATCTTTAAACACGCTGGATGATCAAGACTTTACTTTATATAGTCAAAGATGGAAGAAGAATAAGTCACAAACAAGTTACACTACTTATAAGTAGATGAAACTTCAGATATAAAATTCTGCTACAGTGTGAACACCGATCATTCTCTTGGAGATATGGAACAAGTCGAAAATATGAAGAATACAATGTAATGAATGACGACAGACTTGATCTTTGTTTGAACCTTTTTCCGACTCTATTTTAAGAGAATAATGGATATTTTAGTATTACAGGGATGTGGAGATTGTCGAGTCTCAATGAAATCATGATTCAATTAGAGTTAGACCACCATCAGAAACGAGGAAGCACTAGATAGCCGTTTCTTTCTAATATGTAACGTTTCAGTAGTATGCATCCACTAAGTCCACACGCGGGAATCGAACCCAAGACCTTTGATCTCGCACATGACTGCCTAACCTCCAGACCACTGAGTCGGTATCCAAACATGTTGATGTCTAACTTTGATCAATCCACGGACTTGCGCAACTTCATCCATGGTCTCCGGTGAACACTGCTCCACACCGAAAAGTCCTAGGTCCAATTCCTGCAAGTAGGCGTCGTGGATGCACATTGCTGATGAGTTGCATACTAGGACGAAACGGCCGTCCAGTGCTTCCATGTTTTTAATGGTGGTCTAGCATTGATCGATTGATGGTTTCAATAATCTATATTCTCTCTCTCTCTCTCTCTCCCTCTATATATATATACATCTATATATATATATATATATATATATATATATATATCATTTTCGTTCATGTCCCTGTTTTATATCATCAACAAAACTTCCTAACAACGAGAACTGATTAATTCTCAGTTTCAAAATCCTGTTATCCATGAATTGAATAACAGAACTACAGAGAAATAACCCAATTGATTAATAACAGAAGAGATCTATAGGAGTTGATTTACTGAGAAATTTACAATCTCAAAAAATCTGTTATGTATAAATATTTCATAAAAATATAAATCAAAATAGTATAACCGTCAAAAAAATGAATAATTTATCGGTATGCCACTTTTTGTCATAAATAGCTCCAGTCTTTCAACAAATAAATAAGTATTGTTTCTACTCCTTAGAAAATATATGTATATGTGTACACATAATGTTAAAACAAGTAGAGAATAATAAAGTTTCCTTTTTAATATGTAATTTCAAATGATTTCCTTTTGTTAACTCCAAATACAACAAAGATGATGTTAATAATGTTATGCTCGTCAACTGATATACTTGAACTATACTACAAGTTAACTTACTCGATCATAGGTGTCTTTGAATCATTGCTCGTATATCGTGGGACACCCGAGTGAGCAACGCTGTTATTAGGAAACTGGTGCTAGGTAAGCATGGCAAATCAATAGATGAAGTAATGAAAATTCATCAGTTGAGGTAGTTGGAAAATGTGCTGCGTATGCCCAACCACCGACTGCATCGACGAGCTTTGTTTTGTAGTGTAGGAATAGGTTGAAAGAAAGCTAGGGGCGGCAAAACCAAAACATGGCAGAAATCCATCAAGTCATTGACGAGTGGACTTAGACATGTCGGTAATTGTCGACTACCTGGTTGGGGTCCGCTTGTTAGAGACCCTAAATTACATGGCTCAGAACCGTTTGAAACGGCGCCGGTGCATTTATTCTTTGAGTTCTCTCAAATCCTAATCTTCTGGATTCTTCAACACCTCTAGTTTTGACATTCTAAACTTTTCTCATTAAATCATACTTATTGAATAATATCTTCTAATTCTAACCTCTCCGATTATTTCTAATACCTTTACTACCTCTTCTACTATTGGATTTGAATTGACAATTATATCTCTGTGCTGATGTGGTATGGCAACATGAACTGATGTACTTACGTACGAAGTTCTATGTTGCATCTGACTGACTGACTAGTCGATAAACGAGAGCGAAGACAAATGATCCAATGACAAGAAAGGTTACTATAATCCGAGCATCACAAAGCCCCACTATGTAGAGGAAGAAGTCTTTACAAGACGTAGAAAGTGCATTCCACAAGCACCCAGAAAATACGAGGTTGACAGGCACACAAATCAAGCTTATTTATACAATGATAGAAACGTCCTTGGGAGAGCCACAAAAATAGAGTACTAAAATAACACATTAACCAGTGGCAGTCAAGGATTTTCCGAGTGATAAAAGTAATCTCAAGGTCAATTGATCAGCAAATGCGTGAAAACATACAACACGAAATTAGGACCTTTATCAAGTGAGTTCTGGGGATCTAACGAAACACGAACGATAACAAACTTATCAAGTGAGTTCTGGGGATCTAACGAAACACGAACGATAATAAACCTAACAACATACAAGCAGAGATGTAAGATGTAAGGGGGATTAGGGCCGCCTTCATATTGTTAATTCATAAAAAATTCAATAGATAATGTAATTACCGTACGAAAATCTTCTACAGAACGTAATAAACCTTCTTCATCATGCATAATTTGCAAAAATGTTGAAAATGATCTATTTGACATTTCTGTTGTTGACGATGTTGTAGCGGTGGTTTTCTTAGTATTTTCTGAAAATAAATCGGGATTTAAAATTTTAAAAAAATAAAACATTTCAATCATCAATTGACATTCAATCAAAATAACAACACAAGAAAAACTAAAATGCGTTAGTTTTTTTCAGGAATTATTTAAATGAGATATAACGTAGGCTACCTGGTTCAGGTCCGCGAGACGATAGTCACCAATGGTTAGAGACCTAGAATGACATGGCTCAAAATTGTTTGAGATGGCGCAAGTGTATCTATTCGTTGAGCTCTCTCAAATCCTAATCTTCTGGATTCTTCAACACCTCTAGTTTTGACTTTCTGAACTTTTCTCACTGAATTATACTTCTTGAATAATATCTTCAAACCCTAGTCTTCTTCATTACCATTAATACCTCTACTATCGTTACTATCACTATGGGATTTAATTTGACATTTGCGTCTCTGTGCTAATGTGGTATGGCAACCTGAACTTATGTACATACGTACGAAGTTCTACGTTGCAACTGACTGAAGAAGCGAATGTATCTAATGATAATGGCTTTATTCACTATTATATATTTAGTACAATATGAAATTCTCAGCACGGTATATTTCAACAAGTTTTCTCTACAAAAGAATTAGTATTCAACAGTTAAAAGTAAGAAATGCAAGAGTCGACATATTATTAACGTTTTCTCAGCAGTCTTAGATTGTACCATTCTGTATTTTTCGAAACGATAGATTGTAAACTTTTTATACACACACTTAAATAGATTATGTAATTAATAGATATAATTAACATGTTAATAAAGACAAAACAAAACGGTAACCGTGTTGGAATACTTTGATGTTAGGAAACTGATAGGCCAGATATTCAACCAGGTCGTAGATTTTAAGTTATCTCATCTATAATGTCTGCAACTACTGAACACGATTATCACATGAACCCTAGCAAGTTAATGTCTAACTTGATCAAGTCATGGAGTTGCGCAACCTCATGCACAGTCTTCAGTGAGCACTGCTTCACACCCGAACAGGTTGAACTTCACTGGTCACGTCTTCACACTAGAACTCGGAGAAGATTCCTCACGGAGCTAGTCACTAGTGAGCACAGGTAATTTGCATTACGGGGTTGTGAAGATTGTTAAGTTACACATTTTTGAAACCATTAGATACCGGCTCAGTGGTCCAATGGTTAGGCGTTCGCCTATGATACCAAAGGTCCTGTGTTCTAATCCTGTGGGGTGCAGGAGTCGTGGATGCGCACTGCCACTGATGAGTCCCATACCAGGACGAAACGGCTGTCTTTCAGTGCTTCCAGGTTTCTAATAGTGGTCTAACATTGATCGATTCATGGTTTCAAAAATATGTAACTTAACAATCTTCACAACCCCGTAATGCAAATTATCCAACTAACAAAAGTAACGACTTATTTTTTTTCCACGTGTGTATGCGTGTGTGTGTGTGTACTTCTATTATCAATACAATATATTCGTTACTTTTTCGACTATATTCTCTATTTCACCGTATAGTGTTCTTGAAATTCTCTATAATGTTTGCATTAAAATATGATGTTTGAATGATTTATTAATTTAGTAATTAAGAAGCGAAAACTTCTTCAGTTCATATTACTTTACCACACACACACACACTAGCACACACAGAGATGGAAATGTTAATTCGAATCCCATAAGCGCAAAGGTTGTAGCAGTAATAGCAGTAATAGCAGAGAAAATTAGGGGGTCGAAGAGAAGATTCGAGAAAATATACACCAATGAAATAAATTCAAAAAGAGAAAAGAAGACCTGAGGAATTAAGAAGAATAAAATTGGAGAGAAGACAAAGAATGGATGCACCTGTGTCATTGCCAACGATTTCGAGCCATATCATTCAAAGTATCTAACCATCGGTTACGATGGCCTCGCGAACCCCATCAAGGTAGTCTACACCTATTAAAAAGGCTCAATCCGGTTGTTAATGACTTCAAGCCAAAAAGGAAACTGGATTCGTAGTGATCGTGGTGACCTCAGAGCCAAAGGAATGACTGTTTTAGGGCGATTACATAACTGTTTCGAAAGTATTTCTTTACATGTTGATTCTTTGATTTTAAGGTCTTATCGAAAGCGATGGAAATCTACGGGGTAAGTTAAGGTGTGCTGCTATGAGAGTCAACCTTCTGAAATCATTTCCTCAAGTTGTGGAAAGGCAATATCGCCATAGATGATGGTTTACTGAGGGAAATATCACACCCTAGTGCAGTCACCAGTAAGACCACCTGCAAATCTTAAGTCTGCTACTCCTGGTCTTATATTCTTCCAACCGATTTCCCCGGCATGGTTGGGTAAATCATCATTAACAGATGACAGTCAGTCAGCCACAACGTAAGACTTTGTACGTACGTATATCAGCTCAGGTTGCCCCACCACAATTGCACACAAAGATCGAATTGTCAATTCAAACACCATAGTAGTAGAGATATTAGAAGTATTAACGGTAATGGAGAACATTAGGGTTTGAAGAAACTACAGATTAAAATCATCAACCAATCATTGCCAGATCATCATTAGAAACCTGGAAGCACTGAAAGACAGACGTTTCATCCTGGTATGGGATTCATCAGCAGTGCGCATCCACGACTCCTGCATCGCGCAGGATTCGAACCCGATACCTTCGGTCTTGGGCGCGAACGCTTAACCTCCGTACTACTGGGCCGGCATCCAACGGTGTTAACGTCTAACTCTGATCGATCTAGGGATTTTGCGCGACCTCATCCATTTGTCTTAGGTGGTTACCGCCTACACCTGAAACTCATTTTGTGTTGGCTTCACACTCTCATATAGTTTTTGAATTCTCTATTGCGTTGATAGTTTGATTTATATATCTAGATGAAGGTTATGACAGAAACAAAGGAGCGTAAGAAAACTACTTCTTTCAAATATAACAGTCCATAACAATGAGAACCTATGATTCTGTCGGAGGTCGAACCTAAGATTTTCAAGTCTTACGGACTGCTACACGGTAAACTCGTCCTTTGGTTAGCAAGGGGATATCTCGCATGCGCCATAGGTGACGCAGGTTAGAAAAAGCCAATCGAGCCTTCTGTATTTGAGCTGAGATTTCGTCAGTCACCAGGACATCAGCACTGATGAGACTCCACAGATACGTGAAGCGGTCAACACGTTCGACTACTTCACTCCCTATCACTACTTCAGGTGCCGATGCAACCCAGTCTTGAAGCAACATTTTGCATTTCGAGGGGGAAAACCGCATCCCGAACATGCTTGCATTGTTGCAACAATACAACTGAGATATTGTAAGACTGATTGTCTTTACACAACAGGTGTTATCGTACTCAGTATCACTGTTCTGGTAACACAACAAAAATTAAAAATAACTCTCTCAACATATCCCTAACTCTTCATTCGGTTAATATAATATTGTCTTGCTTGTTTCATACTATCCTTCTAGAATATTGCTGTTCAAAATGAATGGTTGTATGTACAGAAATGTGTATATACCCATAAGAAAGATTCATAATACGGGAGATGTACTGTCACTGTTTTTAGTTTCATTCCTCTCCTATATTATTATTAATAAAACTTAAGAAACTTAAAAAAAACATAAGATACACATTTTTTTTCTTACTAAAACTTACGATTTGAATTTCGTGAATTTAATGCTGGAAATTTCGGTGTTAACACATTGGTTGGAGCATTTGAAAGAACACCTAAATATCGCATAAAACTGGCATAAATTTCTTTATTCAAATTAGGTTCCGGTATCCATTCATCGATAATAAAATCGGGCATTGTTTCAGGAGCTATAGAAAATAATCAATACACATATAATTACATATTAGAGATATTAGAACGTTATTCAGTTGTTTGATATGCTTGTCAAATTGATACGCTTGAATGGTAATACAAGTTCAGCTTACTCGGTAAATGGAGCGCAGATAAATAATGATGCAGTAACACGATAGGCTATTCTAATCCAATTGTTCCAGGCCCCACTAACTAGAGCAAGAAGTCTTGATAAGGCGTAGGGAATGTATTCTACAAGTATCCAGAAAATATGAGGTTGACAAGCACACAAATCAAGCTTATTTATACAATGATAGAAACGCCCTTCGGAAGGCCGCAAGTTAGCGTACTAAAATAATCCATCAACCAATGACAGTCAAGGACTTTCCGAGGGGGAAATGTAAGCTGAAGGTAAACTAAGCGTCTCTTGGTGCAAAAACATTGAAAATTCAAATTTTCAGAAATAGATTACAAAATTAACACCTTCCAAATGAGTTCTAGGGATCTAACGTCCCCAACATTGTCACACCTTAATCACAGTTTATACCACTATAAAGAAACTCAATGTAATCAACTGCACAGTACTATCCTTTTGTTGAAACCCTTCAATAATGCCTGGAAAGATTATTGAGAATCTGGGAAAATGTTGAATATACCTTCTCTTATCATAGTTGTTCGTAAATTTCCTGTAGAATTCTAAAGAACAAAACATTGCGTCATATTCTGATTTGATACATGCTAGTTTCGCTAGAAACGCGCAAAATCCCTAGATCACTCTGAGTTAGACATTAACAATTTTCTCTGGATAGTTTGATCATGTACCAGAAAATTCAAACGTAAAATATGACAAAGGACATTATAGATAAAGACTTTTATCAATTTTCAATATTGTTTGTTTAGCTGTAAAGCAACAAATCTTCGACTACTTTTCATTTGTTGAAATTGATCAATAAAAGTGGTATTTTCGACTGTCGATAGCATTTCACATACTATGGAAATGATTTCCATGACTCTAAAGTCGTACAATGTTCTCACTAGCCACTAACTTCGTGACGGATTTCTAGGAGTTCTAGTGAGAAGATGTGACCAGTGAAGTTTAACCTGTCCGGGTGTAGACAGTAACTACCGAAGACAGTGTACAAGGTTGCGCAAGACTGTGAATTGATCGAAGTTATACATTGACACAGTCAGATACCGTCCCAGTGGTCCGGAAATCAGACAGACCGAAGGTCCTGGATTTGAATCCTATGAGGTGTAGGAGTCGTGGATGCGCACTACCATTGATGAGTCCCATACAAGGACAAAACAGCCGTACAGTGCTTCCAAGTTTCTAATAGTGGTCTAACAATGATTGATTCATGATTTGAATGTGTAAAAACACTAATTTCTATAACTCTAATTGAAAAATTGTCAGGTTATAACAATAATTCTGGACACAGTAATTACAAGTTTATTAGTGGTGAAATCTTGGAAAAATGACCACGGTAGTTTAGACGCGTTTTACAATTCTCATTCCATTTTTTTCCACTACATAAATTGTTTTGTGACATTGGAACTGAGTAGATGAAATCGTAGTATGAAAGTCAGTCATATTGGACTATTATCTTGAGATGGCGGGGAAAATTTGTAGCTCAAATGAGTGATTATGGTGGAGTTTCGTTCTCGGAGCTGGATGTTTTAGTTGTAAAGCTTTCATTGTTCTTCGAAACAATATTGTCAGCACAAACTTACGACAAAAGGGGGATACAGTCAAAACAACGATGCAGAAAGGTTAAAGGTCAATAGCAACCATTTAAGATCGAGGTCAACAGGACAAGCTACAGGTCAAACGTGAAGAAATTCGAATATTTCACTTCTATTTGAAGTTTGTGCTGATGGTGTTGTTCAGAGGAACAATGGAAGCTCCAAAACTAAAACATCCAGCTGAAAGGAAGAAGGTAGTGGAAATTATATGACTTTAGAATTATCAGATATAGCACAAAATACAAGTCAATAACGCTTCTACTATAGTTTTCTACTTTATTTTTCATAATAAACAGATGAAATTCGCTTAAATGAAAACAAAAATCATCCTTATTACAAATCTCGTTGATTTATTGATTGATTTATCATTGTACTTCTCTTTATCTTTTCACAATTTCATTTCTTTGTAACGCATAGTTACTGTGATGCCCAATAGTCAGTCAGTAGGAAGGATTTGATTTTGACCAATTCGGTCTCGCGTGCTGTTACCGGTATGAGGGCGGTTGTCACTTCCTGGCTGCCCACACCATGGAAGGGTGTTTCTTGAGGGACCTGAAAAGGAAGATAGATTAGTGTTGGTCTTAGAGACCTTGGTGAGTGCCGCAGAGCCCAGGGGACAACTGCTTAAGGCCGGTCACGCACGGCCTCTTTATTAAAGGTTTGTTGAGTAATAGCTCTTGAATGCCCTTAGTTGGCACCCTTACCGACGGAGACGGAAATCCGTGAGGTAGGGTGAGGTGTGACATTTTTAGGGTCGATCTTTTCTAACCCTTCCTTCCTTGTCAGAAGGCAGCATCGCTGTAGGTGCTGGTTGTCCGAGGGAAACAACTTACTGCTGTCACACCCCTCTGCAGTCAGCAGTACGAATTCGCCCTCAGACCTGGAGCAGCTGTTTTTAGTCTCACTGTTCTCCAATCGACCTGCCTGGCATGGTAGAACCTTCAGGAAAATGAGTTCCAGCCAGTATATCTCGGTAGGGTCATCACGATAGGCAAACCCAACCACCACGTCAAGGTAGCAGCTACGGTCGGGATGCCTAATATGTAATAATAGTAAATAGAAAAATTCATATCCATCAAACAAACTGCCCAATTGAACTTACACATATCAATATCTGATAAACCAAGACTAAAAGCATACTCTTCATGTGCTGTTTGTAGAAAACTTCTTGACAATTTCACACCATGTGAATTATTCACTGTATGATCAATTTCATTCACACATTGAGAAGATTTCTTTACAGATAATGGTAGACTGATTTGATTAGTCTCTAATAAATTGTCTTCGGGGATGTTGGAACAACTAGGTGTACAAGTTATTGTTGTTGTTGGTGGTGGTGGTGGATCTGCCTCTTCTTCTGTTCTAACAACATTTGAAGGATGTTCACAAATTCGACTATTGGTAGATTCACATAATACTGAAGTATTTTCAATTGGATTAGAATTCTTTTCAGTTTGTTCAGTGACTTGTTCACTAGTATGACTATCTAAAATTAGTGTAGTTGCCCATGAAACATCATCATGTGCAAGTGATAAAAATTCTTCAAGTAAACTTGGTTTTAAATTTGGAAATATTGATATTAATTCACCAAGTTTTCCTTGAGAAGTAGATGCTTGTGGTTCTAGTGGAGATGTAGCAGTAGTAGTAGTAGTAGTAGTAGTAGTAGTAGTAGTAGTAGTAGCAGGAGTAGGCTCGTCATTGATGCCTGTTTGGGGAGAGAAAAAAATGAAAAGTGAGAAAATAGTCAACGCAGAGAAAACCTCAAATAGTCATGTTGTGGTGCGAGCTACTTATAAGTAGTGTATGACGTGAGTGTCAACGTAATGTCTGGCAGCAGAAGATGATGGCGGAAGATCAACAAAGGAAGAGTTAGAAGAACACAATGGAATTTGTATGAAACGCATGAATAGTGACAATAGATTGATGTTTTGCAACAGGAACAGTCCAGTTCGATGTAGATGAACTGATATTTTGCAAATTAACGATTTACGATATGGTTTTCCGATTTTACTGAGTAACTCTGTAATTTTTGTTAAATACAATTCGGGTTGCCCCACCTGTGTTCTCGTTCACTACAATTTGTTTGTAAACAAATGTTTGTTTTGACCGTATAGGGGAAGATCTTGGTAACTTTGCCTAAATATCTATATTTCTGCATTGTTCTTCGCTGTTATCTGACTAGTTTGCTACTTTCGTTGCTTCACAGTCTCTCATTTTCTGTCATATGAACAGGGCTATTTTATCAAAAGTTCAACTTCTTACGAAAATAAAGAAAAATATACCAAGGCGATCACGAGATCATTCAATTTTCGCACATTACGAAAAAAAACGAATAGGCGTAAAGGTCACTTTTTTTCCTGATTCAGTGGTCTCTAGTGATTGGCTGCCACAAATTTAGCTCGCTCATGAAGGTAATGCTTTCGTTACCACATGTATATTGAGTGTACTGTATCAAGTTCTTCCTCTTATTCAACGTGAATACCATGTTTTTCCCTACACATCGTCTTTTATCTGTGACCAATTAACTGTTGAAGTATTGTATATGAT